GAGAGAGAGAGAGAGAGAGAGAGAGAGAGAGAGAGAGAGAGAGAGAGAGAGAGAGAGAGAGAGAGAGAGTAATAACAAAGAAATAAGTGGTTGGTTTTGTTACAAAACCTTTTGGATCTCCACTTGGATGTTCCCCCATTTTCAAAATTTCGTTGTTGTTTTGATCTGTGCGGGTTGTATCATGCTACAGTGTCTTAAAACAGTGTCAGTGTCTTTTCAACGCTGCACTACTGTCAACTGCTGATATCAACTATTGACTGTTTCATTCTGCCTGGTCAAAAAGTGTGGCACTTCTGCCGACCGGTAACTGGCTAATGACTATATTAACCATCGGAAGGGGGCAGTGCGGAATGGGTAGCATGTTTGTATTGGGAAGGGGCCTGATTGCCCAGGATTCATGGATTGCAGGCTTCTTAAGAACGGTAGACTGTGGCCCTCGTTCAGCAATTCAAAAGGAAGAGTAAAATACCATAATATCTTGGTTTTCTGCATCATTGGGACAGCATGGTGAAAGGAGAGGGTCAGCATTAGGACAGCTATTGTAGTAGAAGCGAATGGAGAGAGGATCGGGAGGAGGAGGAAGAAGGACAGGGGACGAGGAGGGAGGAGGGAGAAGGGCGAGGAGGGAGGAGGAGCAGGACGGAGCAGTACTGTTCTTTCTCTTTTTACCTAGTTGCAGTTGCTGACGTGTGAAATTTGTACCCTGGACTTGCAGTGTTGTCTGGAACAAAGTATGGCCTGAAGCAAACTCGAGGAAAGTTCGGACTCGGCGCCAAGATGGTGAGTTTTCACAAATTTTCACCCTCGTTTTCGTATTAACATTCCCTCATCTCCATTCCATCCCCTGAGTGGTGCTATCAGGGGCTTCCTCCTTGGGGCAAGCTCTCAGGTATGTCTCTGCAGTTCTGCTTCCTGCATTCAGAAATTGGGTACATAAAATAAGGTCGGGGACTCGGGGCTCTTAGGCGATAGGGCTTGTGCCGCATGTTGACGAATGCTGTACCAAAGAACTGTAAGAATTCAGCAGGAAACAGAATTGCAGAAAACATTATCATTGACAGAAAACCTTCTTAGATAGAAACCTCGCAGAGTAGGAACAAATGTATGTGCGACTCAATCTGGGAACTGTGTGACAATGGCGCCATGGTCCATACCATGATTGGTGTTGGCGATTTCCTTCTCAACGGTGATGTTTTCTTGCTTTAGCAAATCGTCCGTCTCTTTTAAGACTTTTATGTTGAGGACCACTTCTCTCTGCCCCTGTGCCACAGCAGGGCAATGCGTCCTTCTTGACTGATACTGTTCAGCCTCCTGATGAGTAGGTGAAAGTCCAACGAAACACTCCGTCACAGCCCCCCATTTTTTTTGTTTTTTTCTCCCTTTCTATGTGCAGTTGACCAGGCGGTTCTCTACCATGTGAAGGTGTCGGTGAAACTACGACAAAACAGTTCTCTATGCTATCTACCTCCTTGTTCATCTTTGGACGTCCTTCCTCACCTCTCTTAACCTCCTCCCTTTCCTACTTCAAACCTTGTCACTCATCTCCTGTGGCTCATCTCTCACCATTGGTGTGCACTACCTCCATCACTATGTGGAATTTCCTCCCTTGCCATCTTCAAACTTCCTGCCTCCCACTCTGTGTGCTATGTTGGAGTTTAGACACATCCGATTTTCTTCGGCAGAGCCATTCTTCCTGAGCACTGGTGGACGCTGTAGAACGAAGATGAGAAGCACACAGCCTGACTGGACCAATAATTGCAACGATCATGTTCATCCTGTGCTCTTGATCGGATCGACTGCGCACTTTGGGCTTGTGACTACTGCAAATACACTTTGCAAGTTTGCCTGCCTTCAATTTTCACAATGCTCTTTGTCCAATGCAGAAAAATCTGAAGAATGCATTCTCTTACCTTGCACACAGATTCAAAATAAATTGTTGTGATGGTATGCAGAATCGCAGACCAATTCCTGGCCTCATGGTGTTTGTGCTGTAAGGGAGAGGGAACCAGTTTGACTACCGGTAGGTGAGGGAGAGGGTGGGTGGGTGAAGTAAGCATGGCAGCTGCGTTTCTCGGCTGTCAGCGACTGAGACTTGCTTGAGACTGAGCATTCTCTTACCTTGCACACAGATTCAAAATAAATTGTTGTGATGGTATGCAGAATCGCAGACCAATTCCTGGCCTCATGGTGTTTGTGCTGTAAGGGAGAGGGAACCRGTTTGACTACCGGTAGGTGAGGGAGAGGGTGGGTGGGTGAAGTAAGCATGGCAGCTGCGTTTCTCGGCTGTCAGCGACTGAGACTTGCTTGAGACTGTGCTGGCATTTTGATCCTTCATATGCTGCTGGGAAAGTGGCTCATTCAGAGGCAGTGCGTGATGTTTCTGAGAGTTTGGAGGGATGGGAGATTGGCATATGACAGTGCAAAGTCATTCACTGTTCGATGATGTGTCATTGATTTCATGTGCCTGTAGGCCCTCATATGGTCAAAGATGAGCACAGGTCTCCCAATAGAGATATGGAGTGCGCTTGCGAACCAGAGCTTCATATCGTACTGCAGGCTTGATATTGATATAAACAGGTGGGCTCCTCGACCTTGCTCCAACTTCTATTTTTTTATCTTCAGCTTGGCCCTAATTACTCCTTGCTTGGACAGTTTGCGGAAGTTGTGTATTGAAAGGAGAGAGTGAGGCCCGAAGGAAGGTAAGAAGATGTGTTTCCTTTTGTCTCGTAGGTGGGTGGGACACACGCCAGAAAACCTCTCAGGGTAGAGCTATGTGTGGTTCGATGTCGGGCCTAGCTTTCCGCTTTGCAATATTCTGAGGTTCGCTTTGCAGTTGCTTTACCCAATTCACAGTTTTCAAAATGCTTCTTTTTCTTGTTTTTTTTTCTGTTTTTTTTTTTTGTTTTTTGTTTTTTTTTGTCAGACAGGTCCTTGTCGGTGTGGCTCCACATCTGCCACTCTGGTTCCTATTCCACCAGTAAATGATAAGCAGTCTATAGAATGATGACAAACCCACACTTCCTTCCATCAAGGCCGAATGACCCCAGAACAGCATTGATTGCTCCATTGGGTGGAGGATTGACTGTCATATAGCATTTTGCTTCTCAGATTCATCTTAGTCTCTGCTGTATTGAGACCATCGGATTGACATGACTGCGTTGGGGCTTTGCGAAAGTTTCAAGTATGTTTGTAACTCTCTAGGTGTCGAACATTCTTCTTGATGTCTATCGGTTATATAGTCAATGTTTTATCCTTAGAGTCTGTCGCTCCGCACTGCCTCAGTAGTTCTCGTTCACTTTTTGTTGATCTACACAGGCGTGTGGAATTGCATGCCCTCTAGTCGTTTGCTTCAGGAGGTGGGTATTCGGCTTCAAGATTCGTCTTCTCTTTTTGGGGTCTGCAATTATCCGCACAGAGTCAGTCTGAGATTTCTGCTGTTTTCTTAGTATTGCTGCTTGCTGGACTGATTTGCTGAGATTTCCGACTGTTCACTGTGCTGTGTGAGTTTGCTGTGTGCTTGGTGTGTCAGTCGCCCTGTGATGATTGCTATACGAAGTCCTAACTGTGTGCTTGCTCTATGTTTTCTGTCTTCCCGGGAGGGGTAGATTAGGAGTAGGAAATCGCAGGGGCAAGACTGAAATTAGGGACTTAACGGACTCCTGGAAAGGCTAGGACGGACAGGGACACAAGTAGAGTTTGGGTAGTACCTGACAAGGATTCCCAGCAACTCGGGCGGTTGTCTGGTAGGCCTAGAAGGACCTGGTACCACGAATCGTAAGGGCCCGATCCTAGATACCGGGTAGGTTAGGTTCAGGCCCAGAGGTAGACTTACAGGCTGCAACAATATTTCGCCAAAAGGTAGAAACCTCTTGTAGGCCCAGTACCCAGGTGAGGCAGCCGTAGGAGCGGTACCACAGCTTAAGTGAAGCTACGAGGATGAGATGCGAGATGTGTCATTTGGGTACAAGGAGTGAAGCGTTATCTTACCCGGCAGTCATGCTGCTGCTCCGCCCAGAGGGTGATGTTAGGCGGAGCTCCTGCTGACCGGTGGAGCTGGAGGGTGGAGAAGAAGATCGCTGCGGCTATGTAGTAGTAGTAATAGAAGGGAAAAGGCCTGGGCGATGGTGCTAGATGGTGAAGCACCCAATGCCAGGCTATGAAGAAGGTGGACAGAAAGTCTCAGAGGAGAAGTGAGAGATGGACCAACATGAGAGACTCACCAATGGCTATGGTGGACTTTCATCGTCATTTCCCTGCTTGGTGTTGCATCTAGAGGGGCCCTTTGTGGGTGCCAGTTGGAAAGCCATGGCTATGGCGGAGAGAGATGGGAGAGGCACAAGCGAGATTGCGTTGTCCTGTGAACATCCGTGATGAGCATTGATGTTCCACCATAGAACTAGTTGCTACCAAAAAGAGAAGATTTAGGATACCTCAGCTACATGCATTACTGCAGTAATACCTGGCACCTATTGTGAAAAACGGCTCGCCTTGCCGTGCCCTTACCCATGCCCTATTTATTCCCTATGGAATATTGGAAGGACGTGCTTGAATAAGCAAGAGCACTCATCTTCGAAAGGAGGGCTCTTTGAGTGCTATAAGGGAGATTACTCGGACAGCATTTCTGTTCATTCATTCATTTCTTGTTGTTCATTCATTTCTTGTTGTAATCAATGGTTTATGACAGGAGTAAGGGAGAAGAATATGAGAGGAGGAGAGAGAGAAGGGAAGAAATTTGTCCGACTTGTCTAATGCTTCGTCTTCTTTCACTCTTTTCATTCTGTTCCGCTCTTTCTCTCTGTCCACTTGTTCTTTTGAGTTTCAGAAAGTCTTGCAGTCAAATATACGTCCTGGGCGAGTAAGAGCAGAGGGTATCGGAGTGGAAAGACAAAATTCATTGCTGAATGCCGGACATTCTCTGTATGGTTGGTTACTTGCAGAAATGTACCAAATGTGCACAAACACGAGAAGAGAGACAACCCTGAATGCTGGCGTGGAGCAGAACTGCAGGTGGTCATTGAAGGCAATTGGACAACCCACCGTGTGAGTACTTTGTTCCACTTAATATCCTGTAACAGGGTGCTACTCCTGCAGTAGGAAGATAATGAGGATGAAGTTAACGGAGACAGCAAGGCACACATATAAAAGACATGAAAGAGCGCACAGTGTACAGTCTCTGAAGATGCGGCTTACACAAAACTCTCTCCTCCCCCCCTCCCCCCTCCCTCCCTCCCTCCCTCCCTCCCTCCTGCACACACGTGCCGTATTCGACCGAATGCAAACAATGTGCGAACTTCTGTCACTGCCAAGCAACATAGTTCAATAGGGGGAGTATCTCTCTCTGGCACTCTGTCTGTCTGCCTGATTATCTTTCTATCCGTCTGTCGGTCGGTCCTTATGTCTGTCCGCCTGTCCGCTTCTTGTGGTGCTTGCCTGCATGCACCGATGTGTGTTTGCTCTCTCGCCCTCGGACTTGTTCTTTCTCGCACTCACTCCCACTGCCCTGCCTTCCTCCCTCCTCTTATTTCTCCCCATCTTGCATGCATTGAACATATCGAAGGGGAGTCTGTTATTGTATAGCCATTGGCCGGGTTGTTCTGTGTAGAATGAGCAAGGTAATCAATTCTTAGTGCTCTGCAGCTGGTCAACTGCTATAGGATCATCATGTTTGTTGGGCTGCGTGGAGTGTGTTAACCGTCGTTCCAGTATTGTGATATACGAGTGACAGGCTGCTGCTCCTACACTGCGGCATGCCCAACAGTCAATCCGCCGTCTGAAAGCCTTGTTAGGAAAGTCGAACCCCTTTTGGGAAAGTGGCATGCATCGGGAGATCATAATCTGGTGGTTCTTGGATCGACGCTGGAAGATTCAGATGGCAGCTTTGGACACTAAAGATAGTTCCTTCAAATCTCGAGGTTCAAGAAAAGGGATTGGGACGTCTGTTGAAATTGGAGCGATAATCTGGTGGTTCTTGGATCGAGGCTGGAAGATTTGAGATTCAGATGGCAGCCTTGGACACTAAAGATAGTTCCTTCAAATCTTGAGGTTCAAGAAAAGGGATTGGGACGTCTGTTGAAATTGGAGCGATACAGAGAAGGCATGGCCCCTGTGCAAAGATGACACATAAATCGAGAAATGGTCCAGTATTTTTTTCTTTTCTTTCTTGAACTTTTTTCTTCTTCTTTTTAGAGAAAAGGGATGAGTCTAGTCGGTTATGCATATGTTCTGCCAGTCTGTTGTTCTGTATAGCCTGATTGGATGGCTTTTGATAGGCTTAGCACTCTTCTGAATGATTGGTCTTCTCTGCTCTCTCTCGTCATGTTTTTACAGTCGAAGATCATCAATTACATGCGACAAATGGCCGTGATCACCCCTTATGCACAGTTCCTGTTCCGCTTCATTGGAGCTACCCCAGAGTAAGTGTAAACCTTCCTTCTTTTTTTGTCCCCTTGGGCCATACTTTTCACCATTCTATTGAGTGGCAGTGGGGGGGGATGGAGGAACTCGGTGGGGAACTTGTCGGGGATGGCTCTTTCTCATTCCTCTTGGATTCATGATTGAGGGGGGGGCGGGGGAGGGGTGTCAGGGGAGAGACTTGGTAGAGACTTGTCCAGGATGGCCCTTTTTCATCCCTCTTGGATTGATGATCTAGAAGGTCTTTTAGCCTTGCATCATCTGCCCCCACCTTCAAGCAGGTTTTGGCATTATGATCGAACCAGGTCTCTCCTTGAAATCATGGTTTCTGAAGTTATGATCAAATGTGGTCTTTTTCGCGAATCATGACTTCTCCATTCTTCAAATGAAAGCTAGGCAGGGAAGCTGATGAGCTTGGAAAGGGACTTGAACTTTGGACCACAGACAAGGCTTGAAGACCCACCACAATGCTTTTGGAGTCCTCTTTTGGACCCTGTGGAAGTATTCACTCACGTGAGGCGACGACTCTCAAATGCTAATATAATTGCCGGACTCTCAAAAGGCTTCAAAAGGTTTGCGTAAAGATCACTCTACATTCACAGTCACAGCCGGCACTCAAAGACTCCTATTTTGGCACTAAGCGTGCAAGCATGGTCGGCCTATCCTGATTTGTTTGGCAGTTTGTGGCACTGGACTTGTGATCAAGGTTGGGCTATTCTTACCATTTTGTTCTATGCACGCCAGTTTCCTGGCAAAGCCGGGCTATTCTGACCATTTTGGCATCAAACTTGCAACCATGGTCAGCGTAGCCTGATCAGATGAATGGATTCTACGAGGAGAGTATCAGTAGCAAACACAAGGTCATGCTCTAAACTAGAGTAAAGCACAGTATGCCCCACAGATTTGTGGACCTGTACATATAGCTGGGAACAGCTTAGCAACTAGCCTGCTCTCAGAGGTATGTCCCGACACAAGTGAGTACCAGAAGGGCACTGGTGGAAAATGTCCGAGGCCAAAAATGCAGTGACCGATACCCGGGATGAGGTCCATTGATACAGTCCTGGCGAGATCATTAACACTTCTGCCCTCATTCCTGGGGTGCAACATTGGACAGCCATACCCTGCCTCCGTGAGAGCCAGCCTATAAATGAACCCATCCAATGGTTTCCCTACCGTGTGCACTCTACTTCTGTTGTCTTTCCCAGGTGCTATGTGGGTTTAATCACTTTGCAATACACAGGGACCACTTCGAATCAGATGAAGAGCCAGTGCAAAGGGGTAAAAGAGGGAAGCATATATCATCTACTCGTAGCACGGTGTATCGGTCTTTACTCAAATGATGATTATGTCCTTGCAATTGCAATCGTTGCACAATGGGATACCTGTGTCTTCCGCTTATCCCCGCTCCAGTGCAAGGTCCTACATTTTAAACCGCCAGTACACCCGGGCCTGGAGGCGATGCTCTGCACGCCACACTTTTCCGAACCGCCAGCGGCACACTTCTTTTCTTGTATGTCTAGCGCCGCCAGCCATTGGGGTCCGCTGGGCCCGATTCACGAAACTCTCTGAGTAGGTGACAAACATGTTTCCACAAGGCTGGGGCCTTGTACTGGCAGTTTAACCCATGCATTCCCTTCCACCCGACCGTTTTGGTCATTGTTTGCATCTTTTTGTTCGTGACACCTGAGGTCCATCTCGTATCCGGTCTGCGGCTGGCTTCTTCTTCCTTATAGAGTGCAGTGAAACTGTTTCAGTCCGGTCTCTGTAATGGCGTTTGTCCTTGCCAGGGCTGTAACATTTTTGGTAACTCTACTGTTTCGTTCTTTGTTTGTGGGATGCAGTAAGAATGTTTCGATTCGGTTCTCACGAAGGACGGACGTAATGCCTTGTCCTCCATTGGAGACAAAGTACCACCCATCAGCTGTGGATCTGCTCCTCATCAAGCGGCTCGTCAACGAAGCAGGGAAAATGACGTTTGTTAAATTCCTCAGCACAGAGTTTGCCTGCATCAAAAAGAGCCTTGCGGACAGACTTATAGGTGAGTACAGAAGTTGCTCCAAGGCCATGTGGCTGAATGGTGTACATACATGCAACTGGTAAAATAAACCAATCCTGAGTCCAAATCCAGATGGTATCAAATGGACAAAATAGAAAAAGGACAGAGAAAGGTCAGTACAGAAGGTGCTACATGGCATGTTGTGATTGTCCTGCTACAGTGCACACAGAAACCTTCCTTGATTGTGGAGAACTACCTGCTTTGGGGGCACTCAACAAGACTCGTAGTGAACAGTGCAGATGCACACAACTGTACACATCCTCAACAATGCATGGAACTCTTTGACACGACCTGTCGTGAGTAGTGCAGATGCATTCAACTACACGTCCTTAACAACACAAGGGGGGCTCGAGAAGACTTGTTGTGGAAATTGGAGATCCGCTCAACTACACGTCCTTACCCACACATGGCACACCGTAAAAAGCCAGGCAACTGCAGCCGGCCACTCCAGAGTATGAGCAGGGCAAGCCCTTATGGAATCCCTGGTTTGTGCGATTTCTATGGGATGGGATGAGAGGTTTCCAGCTCGAGGCTTTTAGAAGTGCGTAAAGTATGAGCATAGTAGCTGTTGTGATCAATTCACTGTCTGATCTGTGGTCCATCAGGAAAAGAAAATAAGGACTTCCAGGGAAAACCGGGGAAAAGAAATGCTGCAGATGACGCAAACTGCATCCAAAGTTCAAAGCTCAAACTCTGAGACTGTTGAAGAGAAGGTAGACAGTGAGCTGTGTGGTTGTACTTCCGTTTTGAAGTGGGCATGTCACTGTCTTCTGAAGCTTCTCCATTCCTCCTGCAGAGTGAGAAGATTCTCCTGCTTTTCTGAAACGAGTTTTTTGGAGTCTTTGTTCTCCTCCAATCTCCACGCCATGTCTTTGTTTTCCTGTTGTCTGTCTCTCTGCTCTGTTTTTTCACCTGCACCCAGCTTGATGTATGTTGCCAGCATGGCACTCTGTTTATCTGATGTACTTCACATTACCGTCTTCCCCGGACAAAATGCACCCTTCTTACGATTGCATGAGACCCGAAAGATGGCTTGTATATACTGATGATCATGGTTGTTACGTTCGGTGGAAGGCGGTAGAATGTCAACATTTGTTCCGGCGTGGTGTATTAACCGCAGCGTCCTTAGGTGCTTGGTGTACCAGACGGAAATGGCTGGCGTCGCCGGGCAAACTGTGCACTGGACTGCTTTGCCAAAAATCGGCGTGTGGCAGCAATCCATGTTCGGGAAAAGAGGCTCAGACGCAGTGGTGGTTTGACTCACGTAATGTACGCAGATCTCTGGTAATGATCATCAAGGTCCCCTCCTGCAAGTGAATGCTCCATAGTTTGCCATTCTCTCAGGCTTCTCTTCTGCGCTTCTCATGCCTTCTTCAAACTGGTGAATTGCCTTTCGTATTGTGACCGCTCCTACTCTCATCCCTCGAACGTAAGGCAGGCCCATTATAGCTGTACCTGACCTGAAAAGCTAGCTGAGTCGTACAGGTGGAGAAAGTAGTCCCGAAGGTGATGGAAGCACCACGTGCTTCTCCTATCTTGACTGGTCTCCTGTAGCTGTGTGTGTGTGTGTGTGTGTGTGTGTGTGTGTGTGTGTGTGTGTGTGTGTGTGTGTGTGTGTGTGTGTGTGTNGTGTGTGTGTGTGTGTGTGTGTGTGTGTGTGTGTGTGTGTGTGTGTGTGTGTGTGTGTGTTTTCTGTACACATCTCCAGAAAAAAAAAGCATGACTGTGCCAGACTGTTTCGGTGGGGACTTTCACCTGCTCATCAGAAGATTGAACACCAATAGTCTGGTCAGGATGCATTTCGACTGATGGATGTGTGTGCATCTGTGCGCTTGTGTGTGGTCTCTTTTGCAGGTGAGATGGGAGGAGATTTCACACCGGGTATGCCCATTACATCCCTCACAGACCAGCATATTGCTAGAATTCAACAACTTTTCCGGCAGGCAAAGTTCGATGAGCCACATGGGGAGGTACTGTGGTTTCCAACTTCACCCTTTCATGGGACTAGCGTACATTCCCTGCTGTCTTTATTGTGCCCTTGCTATAGTCAATTTTTCTTGTCATCTTTCTTCAGAAACTTTTCTGGTCAATTTTCAGTCTATGAACTCAACCCTGGTTTTGAGTTGATGCTTCAGACTGTGCCTTGTTCTGGGCCTGGTTGATATGTCTTCTCTTTTTCGAAGGAAAGAAAGAAGAAGAAAGGGGAGCCTCACCTCGTATAGTAGAGCGATGAACCAGGGCGACGCTCCCCTCAATATGTTGTTGGTGCTGATGCTTTTGTTGGAGCAAAGATGAAGGGCTCTTCATTGCATATTGTTCCCCAAACATGGGAGGGCACAGCACGGACTTGGGAAACCTTGGGACAGCTGGCAGCCAAGCTCGCTGGAACGTGGCGTTATCCAGGTCGGGAATGGACGCACTTTCTGTAGAGCTGGACTCTACTGCCATTGGCATGGAGGAAGTCTGTGGGGATCTGCTACCGTCGACATGCTCTGGAGACGGGAAAGGGGTCTGTTGGGGAAGGCTGAGTGGGAATCAAGAAGCCGGCTGGTTGGTGACAGAGAGATATAATACGGAGATATATCAGTTCCTTATGAACCTCCTTTGTGTACTACAGGTTGTGAATTCTGACCAGTCCATTATGTCGGATTATGGACCGGTTCTGTGCCCTGGTTGGCGACAGAGAGGTATATGGAGAGAGATCAGTTCATCTCCACTCGAATTGGTGGTTTCTTGGCAGTTCATGCCGTACTGCATTTCAGGCCGTCGTGTGGAGTCGGTCCGAGTTGTAGAGTTTGTGAATTCGTCAACCGCACAAGTGTGTACACACCCTTTTTCTCTTGGTATCCCTTTGTCCAGGTTCATTATGGACTCTACCGTCAGTCCTAGAACACAACTCACACTCATCATGACTGTAGTACACTTGAAATACAGCTTGCTGTATGCATTCATGGCGTGGGCCCTGTGGGGTCGTTCTGACTGCTTGAGGTTGTGAATTCCTCACATGCACAAGTGTGTATATACTATATACCCTATTTCTCTTAGCATTCCTTTGTCCAGGTTCATTATGGACTCTACTGTCTTCCCCCGTACACAATGCACAGTTAACATGACTGCATAAGACCAGAAATATAGCTTGTTTTATACACTCATGACGGCTGGGCTCGAAAAAAAAAGGGAGCGGAGGCCTCCCCAGGCTGCAACATGGGGAGGCATGGAGTGGGTTGCATGTTACATGAAGGAGCACAGCCCTACAGGGCCAGTCTTTTTTACCCTTTGTTCAAGTCTATATTAAACCACCACTATCTTTCACAGGCAAACTCGAAACCTCCTAAGAATGCGGGAAAACCCTTCACGCATTCTGTGGAGGCCAGGTGCCAGCAGACCAAAATGGCTGGCGGCACAAGCCACAACAACAACAAAAAGTTGTGCTGGCACTTCGGCAAAGCTTGGCGCGCAGTTCTTTTTCACCTTGGCAAAAAGAGGCTTGGAGGTAGCGGTGGTTTAAGGAGAAATCAAAAGGTTCATGGCAGCGATGGGAGCCTCAATGCTTTAGTATACCGGGGAGATACAGACCCCTGTGCAAGCCTGCAGTCCGTCGTTGTGGTCGTGACCATGAATGGTAAGGAATCATTTGCCCCTCTCCTTAGTTTTGCCTGGAGCCGCGAGGAGAGAAAAAAGACAGATTTCGGAACGAGAGAAGACGAGGGAAAAACTTGACAACCTCTACCTTGTAGCCCATGCATGGCACATGTAGAACGTATAATGTACACAGCAAGAACGCAAATATGGTTGGGCCTAACAGGACCCATAGCTACCTCCTATCTCCTTTAAACCACCAGTGTCAACGAACCTATTTTGTTGAATGGGGAAAACCACCTGCCTGGGTCTGCCCAGCCTGAATGCCACTCCTACTGGATAACGATGACTTAGATTGAAATATGCACTCGGTTTGGCGGAAATATTTTTTCGTAGTGCAACTTATTTTTGTTTATTTTGTAATTTTTTCTCTCTGATGCGGCAGAAACCACAAAACCTAATCTACATCCCTTTTTTTATATTTTCCTCGTGGAAAATCAGAATTGAAAATCACCAGAGTTGGGGTACTCTGAATTTTGCACACTGCCAGGTATCCCCTTTGGTCCGCTAGGCTGAACCTTTGTTTCCACAGCTTGTGTATGTCCGCGCGTTTCGGAGCTGTGGGGGTGGGATTGGTGGTTTAAGAGTTTTAGATTCTTGTTTTCTAGTGAGCTCGTTACTGAGATGTGTTAGCAGCGGACAAGTTTCCCTAGGTGGATTGAGGGTAGATTAGCGGTATCAGGACACCAGTTGTAGCAAACTGGCGAACTGAGAACCTTGCACTTTTGCTACCACAGAGTGGCAACTTTTGCCAGATGGAATTTGCCATTTTCAAAAGACACAGTGATCAACCATGGTCCTGTGCATGTGCCTATTGTTCACTACCAGGCAACGGAGGGTCTGTCTGTGTATGGAGAGAGAGAGAGAGAGAGAGAGAGAGAGAGAGAG